GCGAGGGGGGGCTGGGGCCGCCGTGGGGAGCGGGCAAGCCCCGGTGGAACCGGTTTGGGGGGGCTTCCCCGCCCGGGGGTCTTGGCGCAGGGTGGGGGCGCGGTGCGTTCCCCCCCTCCCCCCGGCGGTGCCGTGCGGCTGCGTGTGCCCCCCGCAATGGTGCGGGCTCCGCTCCCCGCGGGCCGCCGGCGGGGGTCCTCGCGTGGGGGTCCCTCCCGACTCCCCGCACTCGCCCGCGGCCGTGACCTTCGCGGGGCCGCCCCGCGGGCGGGGTCCGGGAGGGGGGAGCGCGGGCCGTGCACGCCCGGGGTCCCGCACCCTGCGCAGCGCGGGGGGGGGGGGGGGGGGCGGTGGGGGCACCCCCCCCCCCCTCCCAGGGGGCGGTGGCTGCAGGAAGCGGGCCCCCCCCCTCCCGCTCCGCTCCACTCCGCGCGCGCATTCCCGGGGCAGCGGAGATCGGAGCTGCGGCGGGGCCGCCCTGGGGGTCCCATCCCGCGGCCCCCCGGCCCCGCCGGACCCCGCGCAGCCGCCGGTGCGCGGGGGCGGGGCCGGACGCCTGGGTTCCCCTCCGGGCTGGGGGGAGTGAGGAGGAGGAGGAGGAGGAGCGGGGGGATGTGGTGAAGGCAAGGCAGGCGCGGGCTGCACGCCCAGGGTCCCGCTCGGACTGGATGCGGTCGGGGGGGCGCAGCGGGGCCGGGCTCCCCCAGGGTGGTGTCGTTCAGGGTGTCCCCGGTGCTGCAGACCCTCGGGCAGGGTCGGGTGGCTGAGGGGACACTGGGGACTGTCCCTCGTGTTCCCTTCTCGGTGGGGTCACACACCCCTGGGCAGTCTTGGTGCCGTGTCCCAGTGCCCGTTCCCGTGTCCCCACATCGGTGCCCACCCCGGGCACCTCGTGGTGGCTGCCTCCCCCCTTCAAGCGGGGCCCCCTGGGGAGGGGACCCAGGGCCCCCCCCCACCCCGTCCTGGTGCACGTGAATCGGAGCCCCCAATTTAGAAACGTCCCATCCCGTGCCAAGGGCTGAGAATAGCTCCCAGTGTCCCGGCACACCTCCCGGGGCTGGGGGCACCCTGCAGGGTTCAGGGCCTGCAGGCGCCCTGAGGCTGAGACCGGGCACACTCAGCACATGCCAGGAGCTCAGGGGTCCCGCTGGGTGACCCCTATGGCCTGGAGGAGCAGTGACACAGGGATGGGCCTTGTCCTGTGTGCTGGCACGGGGAGCACAGTGCTGGAGATGTGGCACTGTGGCTGTTCCTTTGCCACGCAGCTCCGGTGGGATGGGGGAACCGAGGCACAGCCGGACACTGCAGGAAGGAGTGGCTGGTGTGGCCTGGGTTGGACATAAAGTTACCGGCAGTCCCATGGGGTTCGTGGGGGCTGCAGGGCAGGGTGGGGGTCATGGGGCAGGTTCCTGCAGTGGCGATGAAGGACCCGTCAGACACAGGGCACGTCGGGGGCACGAGGCCACAACCTGGGTGCCCCCTCAGTGTCAGAGCAGGTCACCATCCCTGCAGCCACCAGTCCACACTCTTGTGGTGGATTCTGTGAGCCACCAAGCCACAGGGAGGACAGACCCAGTTCAGCCTTCCTATGCCACAGCATGACCTGGACCCTGCCTATGTGGGGAGAGGGCACCGTCCAAGGCCCTCAGGCCACAGCACAGGGTGGGCTGCCCTGATGTCAGGCCCGTGGCATCCCCCTCGCTGGGGCTGCCCAGCTGCTGCGCATGCCTGGGATTCCTGCAGCCTCCCAGCACTGCACGGCACAGCACAGCACAGCACAGCACAGCTCGCTGTCCCCGCTGCCACACGTGCCCACGGCACCGGGCACCGCATGGCACCGGGGATGGTCTGCCCTGCACTGACACAGGTGCGGGGTGAGTGCTCAGCACTGAGAGCAGACGCGCGTGTGGCACCTGGCACGGCCACACACACGGGAACCGGCACGTGCCGGGTGCTGCCAGCCGTGCCATGGCAGGTGCCCTGTGCCTGGACACGCTCCCACGGTGCTGTCCTGCCAGACAGTGCAGCCGGGGATCCTCAGGCAGGGGCAGAGCTGTGCCACCCTGGTGCCCACCCTGGTGCTGCCCGGTGGCCACCGTGACACTGCCCTGGTGCCCGCCGTGACGCCGCAGTGCCCGCGGTGACACTGCCCCGGTGCCCGCGGTGACACTGCGGCCGTGGCCGGGCATCGCTGGCCGGTGGCTGCAGGTCTGCCCGCGGCGCCCTGCCCCCAGCCTGCGCTAATCACACTAATTGGCACCGTGGCTAAAGCGCTTAGGCCCTCACCTCCCTGACCCGGCTTGCAGCTGGGCGGGGGGGTGCTGGGACCCCCGGAGCCCATCTGTCCACGGGGGCAGGGACACGCTGGTGGCCCCCTGGGGTGGCCCCGGTGCCCAGCACCCGCATCCAGCTGAATGGAGGCAGCTGGTGCATTCGCAGAGGGGTGTCCCGTGGGGTGAGTTCCCCATTCTGAGGGTCCCCAGGGGTGGGGTCCATGGGGACCGGGGTGCTGGGTGCCCCCGGTGGGGTGAGGTGGCTCCCGCTGCCGGCCCAGCCCCGGACTTTGCCCCTGGGTTGTTTTCCGCTGCCTGCAACCACCCGACTCAGCAGAAACGCTCCCCTGGGCGTGGGGCTGGGCTGGGGGGGCACGGGGGGGCTCCCGCCGGCTCCCACCCCCTCCCACCCAGCACCTGGTCCTGCAGGTGGGACGCGCAGGTTGGGTGCCGGCGGCGCAGGGTGGGCTGAGACCTGACTGCGCTCATCACACGTGTCCTGCTGGAGGAGGAGGAGGAGGAAGAGGAGGAGGAGTAGAGCCGCCTCTCCTGTCTGTCTGTCTGTCTGGGCTGCCCCAGCGCGCCCAGGATTCCTCGAGTGACAGTTCCTGGAGCGGCACCGCAGGCTCCACTGGGTGATCCCGGGGGTGTCAGGGGGCTGATGGGGTCTCGCTGTGGCAGCGAACCCCAACTTTGCGCCGCACCCCCCCCGGCTTTAGCCCTGAGCCCCTCTCATTTGGGGCTGTGCCCACCAGGCCACCCCAGTGGGGAAACTGAGGCAGGGGCGGCTGAGCCCACCCAGCTTTGGGGACACCCCAGATCCCACTCCATGGCAGTTTCACCGCGGTGTCGACGCCCCCCAGCCCCACACATGCACCGAGCGTGTCGGGGCTCTGCCCGTGCGCGGGGTCCCGGGGGAGGGGGGCGGTGGGCGGCGGGGGGGGCCGGTGCCCGGCGGGGGCCGCGCAGCCCTGGATCCCTGCCAGTGCCTATACTTGGAAGTTCTCCGCGCGCCGTTCCCATATGGAACAAACATTTGCTGCAGCCCCCGGCTCTATAGGTACCGCCGGCCTCAAACCCGGCCTGGGGCTGCGGAGAGGGGCGGCCAGCCCCAGCCGTGAGCCCCCCAGAGGGGAAGTGCACCCCGGGGGTGGTGGGTGCGCTGCCGTGCCTCAGTTTCCCCGCGGAGGCTGGTGCAGGAGACGCTCCCTCCTCAGGGGGTCTGGGGGACCCCCGGTGCAAACCCCTCGTGCGCCGCAGCGGCGCGGGGTGCCCTGTGCACCCCCGGGTGCCACATCCCTCGCCCCCCCATCCCTCACTGCTCAGGGGTGTCCCTGCCTCGGGGGGGGGGGCCGACCGGGGCGCCCCGTGGCGTGGGGGTGTCGTGGGGGCCCCCAGCCCCGTCCGCTGCGTTTTAAATCCGCCGGAGGAATTTCTGCGGCGGCCAAGACAAACGTGACCTACTTTCTGCTGTCCCCGCGCGGAGCGGAGGAGCCCGGGGCTGGGCACGGCGCCCGCCGCGGCCCCCCCCCCGGCCCCCCCGGCGCGGGCAGGGGGCCCCCCGAGCCCCCCACAGCCCCCACGCCGGGAGGGTCACCGGGAGGTCACAGGGGGGGCTTGTGAGTAGGGCCCCCCCCGCCCCACTGGGGTGCTGGGTGGGTGTTGGGAGGGTGCTGGGTATCCATGGCGATGTGGAACGGAGGGGCGCGAAGGGAAGGGGGGATCTACTGGGGTCGTGCCTCAGTTTCCCCAATACAGGGGATCGGGGAAGCAGTGGGTGCCCCCCCGGTGCTGCCCACGCCCTGACACACCCCCCCACCGTGTCTTTGTCACAGGAGAGCTCAAAGAGGAGGGATTGCCTGGACCCCCGGCACCCCCCACCCCGTAAGTCACCCCTCCCATAAGTCACCCCCCACTCCCAGCTTCGGGAGTGTCCACACATGTGGTGAGTCTGTCAGGGCTCAGCCTGGCCCCCAAGCACAGTGTCTGGGGGGCACTTCCCTGGCAGGTCCTGTGCACCCCCACCCCAACGAGCTCTCCCTGCCTTTTGGGGGCCCCCCCCAGCCCTGCCGTGCGGGTGGGGTCAGCACCCACTGCCACCCCCGTGTGTGTGTTTGTGCTTCCCCCCAGGCTCTCAGCCCTGCACACCTGGGGACACTCTCACACAGCTGTCCGTGTTCTCACACACCCCGCGTGCTCTCACACAGCCCTGCACCCCCCTGCACACCCCTGCATGCCCCTAATGCCTCTCCCAGCCTTGCACACCCCTGCACGTTCTCACACCCCCCTGTGCACTCTCTCACGCCTGTGCACACTCTCACACAACCCTGCACGCTCTTGCACGCCCTTAATGCTCTCCCAGCCCTTGCACACCCATGCATGTTTTCACGTCCCTGTGCACATTCTCTCCCCCCCGGTGCACTCTGGCCCAGCCCCGGTGCTCTTGCACACACCCTGCACGTCGCTCCCTCCACGTGTCCTTGCACGTCCCTCGTGCTCTCGCGCAGCCCTTGCTGCCCTTGCACGCTCCACGCGTTCTTGCACACTCGTACCCAGCCCTCCCCGGCAGCAGCAGCTCCTGGGGTTCCCCCAGGGCTGCACCTCCCTCCCCGGGGGTCCCCTCTGTGTCCCCCGGGCTTGCTCCTCCTCCCGTCCCTGAGGTCCCCCATTACTGCCCCCCTCAGCCCCCCCCCAGGGGTGGGGGCTGACCCCCGTGTCCCGCAGGGTGCAGCCCGGGATGCTGCGCGGTGCTGAGCACTGAGGGGCACCATGGGGAGCGCGGCGTAGCCCCCGCCGTGGCCTCCCGCCGTGGCCCCCCCGCCGTGGCCCCCGCGTGGCGCCGGAGCCCCCCCGGTCGGTGCTGAGCGCTCCTTGATGGAATTGCGGTGAATGGAACAGAAGCCCAGCACCCTGGACCCGCTGTCGGAGCCAGAGGACACCCGGTGAGCCCCCGCCCCAGCATGAGGACATGCGTGGCACCGTGCCCGGCGTGTCCCCTTCTGTCCCCTGGGCTGGACCTGGCCGTGCCCAGAGTGTCCTAATGCTGTGTGTGTGCCCAAGTGTCCCCATGCCCACTGCACCCCCGTGCCCGGTGTGTCCCTGTGCCCCACGACCCCGTGCCTGGTGTGTCCCCATGTGTCCCTGCGTGGATGTGTCTGTGCCCTGGGTGTCCCTTGTGTTCTGACACCTTGTGTCACCACATGTCCCTGCATGGTCATGTGTATGTCCGTGCCCTTTGGTTGTCCCTGTGCCCTGGGTGTCCCTGTGCCCGCTGTGTCCCCGTGCCCAGTGTCCCCTGTGTCCCCCTGCCCAGTGTGTCCCCATGGCGTCCCTGCATGGGCATGGATGTGTCTGTGCCCTGGGTGTCCTTTGTGGCTCCGTGCCCACTGTGACCCTTGTGTCACCATGTTGTATGTCCCCACATGTCCCTGCATGGTGGTGTATGTGTCTGTGCCCTGGGTGTCCCTTGTGTCCACATGCCCAGTGTGTCCCTGTGCCCGCTGTGTCCCTTGTGCCCCTGCGTGGTTGTGTGTGTGTCCATGCCCTCTGTGTGCCCCTGTGCCCTGTGTGTCCACTGTGTCCACTGTGTCCTCATCCACTTCATGTGTCCCCAGGTGTCTGTCCTTGGGTGTCCCTGTGTCCTGTGCATTCCCATACCCCGGGTGTCCCCCACCAGCCCTGTGCCCCACATGTCCCCCTGCACCCCTCTTGTCCCCAGGTGTGTCCTGCCCGGGTGTGCCCGTGACCCCTTGCCCGGTGTGTCCCCACGCCCACACGTCCCCACTCGTGTCCCCCACTGGTGCCTCTCCAAGCCCCCCCCTCCCCGCGGGGGCCCCTCGCCCCCGGGGCTATTTCGGGCCCCCGGTGGGGTGGCCCGGCCCGGGGTCACCTTGTGCTGGATCCCAGGACCTCCCCCGCGCCCCCCCCGTCGGTGCCCCCCTCTCCCCCTCCTTGGGCCCCCCCGCGGGGACGGGCGCGCGCGGACCCCCGGCGCGCGCCATTGGCTGAGCCCCCGATGACGTCATTTCCCCGCTCAGCCAAAAGGACATTTTGTCTTTGACTGTGAATGAGCCCCTCCCCCACCCGCCCCTCCCCCACTTCTTCCCCCGCCCCTCCCCCACCCCCCACCCTTTCCTTCCCCTCCCCCACCCGCCACCCTTTCCCTTCCCCTCCCCCCCCCATCCCGGTCCCAGGCTCCCCCCGGGCGCTGCCGTGTCCTGAGGGGGGGGGGTCTGTTCCCGGGAGGGGGATCCCCAGGGCCCCCCCACCCATCCTGCACCCCACCTGTGACATCGCCCCGGTGGGACCCCCGGGCGGGGGGTGCCCGCCTCCCAGCAGCAAAGGGGGACTGGGGCAGTTCGGGGGACTATGGGGGGTCTCGGGGGGGCTGTTGGAAGTTTGGGGGGGGGCAGTGGGGGGTCATGGGCACCCTACCAGCCTGTCCCCTCCCCCGCAGGTGGCTGGATGGGAAGCGCAAAAGAAAGAGCAGCCAATGTTTGGTGAAGAGCAGCATGTCAGGTACAAGGCCCCCCGGGCACACCCGGGCACCCCATGGCCCTGCTGGGCACTCCCAGGTCACCCAGGCACCCCCAGGTCACCCAGGCACCCCACATTCTCGCTGGGTTCCACAGGCACCTCATGTCCCACCTGCGTCCCGCAGACACCCTGTCTCCCTGGTAGGCACCCCGGGGTCCCCAAGTCCTGGCCAGGATCCCCTGAACACTCCGTGTCTCAGCTGGGTCCCCCAAAGTCTCATGGGCACCCCTTGTCCCCTGGTGGGCACCCAGGAACCCCTGTGTCCTTGCCAGGCACCCTAGGGTCCCTTGAACACCCCGTGTCCCTGGGGTACACCCCGGAAACCTGATGTCCTTGCCAGGCACCCCAGGGTCCCTTGGACACATCCCCAGGGTCCCACGGGTACCCCAGGAGCCCCATTTCCTTTTCAGGGTGCCCTGGACACCCCACATCCCCAGTGGGCACCTCGGGATCCCCAAGTCCCAGCCAGGCACCCCATGGATACCCCATGTCCCTGATGGGCACCCCGAGGTCCCCGCGTCTCCCCAGGGTCCCCTGGACACCCCATATCCCTGCAGGGTCCCCCGGGGTCCCTGTCCCCCGCGTCCCCCTCGGCGCCCCTGGGTCGGGGCGGTGCCATCCGGGCGGCAGCGCCCTGGGGTGGGCGATAAGGGGGGCCCCGCGGGCGCTGCCCCCCGCCCTGCCCCATTCCCCGGCGGGGAGCGGCCCGGCGCCGGCAGGACCCGATGGGTGGGACGGTGTGGGGGGGGGGTCAGGGGGGCCCCGGGCGTCCGGCTCCCGCCCATCCCCTGCACCCGCCCCGCTCTGGGAGGGGGGGAACACCCGCGGACCCCCCCATCCAGCACCCACAGAGTGTCAGGGTGGGCTCGTGGGGTCCTCACGCCTGGGTTTGGGGGGTCCCAGGTGGGTGCGGCAGTCCTGAGATGCCAGGTGCCCACACCCCCTCATCCTTTGTGCCCCCCTGCCCTGGGGATCCCCACATCCAGCACCCGCAGAGGACGGGGTGGGCTCCCCGGGGGGGCACAGGGGTCCCGGGCTGCTGGAGAGCCCCCCCCAGGTGTCATTGGTGCTGCATGGCTCAGTTTCCCCGTGTGGATGGTGATGGGGGAGCTGGGGGGGGTTGGGGGGCTGGTCCCCAGGCTGCCAGGCAGGGGGACCCTGGGCAATGATGGGGACAGTGGGTCTTTGTGCAGCAGGGGGATGGGGACCCCCCCGCTGCCGGTCCCCAGCCGGATAATGGGATAATGGGGGCTTTATTGGTGCGGGGGGCTCAGACACCCCCCACCCTCTGACACCCCCCCCAGCTTTAACCCTTCCTGTGCCAGGCTGAGGGGCAGCGTCAGGGCTTCAGTGGGTGCTGAGGGAGGGGAAACTGAGGCACAAAGAGGGGGGACACACTGAGGGTCCCTGGCAGGGGGTGTGCGGAGGGTCCCTGATGCTGCATGTGTGAAGGGTCCCTGATGCAGGGCATAGGGGGGATCTCTGACTTGGGGTCCCCCAGGGAATCTCTGATGTGGGGGTCCCTGATACCAGGGTCCGTGGTACAGGGTGCCTTGGGGGTCCCTGACTTGGAGTGCCCTGGAGGTCCCTGTCATGGGGGTCTCTGACTTGGGGTACTGTGTGGGTCCCTAGCTGGGGATCTCTGGCCTGGGGCACCGTGGGGGTTTCTGCCATGGGGCTCCCTGACCCGAGGGTCCCCACAGGGTACATCCCTAGTTACCTGGACAAAGATGAACAGTGCGTGGTGTGCGGGGACAAGGCCACCGGCTACCACTACCGCTGCATCACCTGCGAGGGCTGCAAGGTGAGCTGGGGCAGGGGGCTCAGGGGGACTCAGCAGGGCTCAGTGACGCTCACCGTGTCACCCCCCCTGCACCCTCCCCAGGGGTTTTTCCGTCGGACCATCCAGAAGAACCTGCACCCCACCTACTCCTGCAAGTACGATGGGTGCTGCGTCATCGACAAGATCACCCGCAACCAGTGCCAGCTCTGCCGCTTCAAGAAGTGCATCTCCGTGGGCATGGCCATGGACTGTGAGTGGGGGGACACAGGGGGGCTTGGCTGGAGGGCTGGGTTGGGGTCCTGGCACCATGGGGCATGTTGGGGTACCCAGAGCAGCCACAGGACCAGGTGTCGGGCACAGGGCACCGTGATGCATCAGTGGGGTGGGATACAGGAGTGGAGGGTCTCAGCTGACTGAGGGGGGTCCCAGCTGATGGTGGGGGGCTGCTGGGGGTAGGGTTGTGGTCCTGGTACCGTGGGGTGGGTTGGGGTACCTGGAGCACCGTCAGGAGCAGCCTGGGGTGTCACCGTGGGGTGGTGTGCTGCAGCCGTGGGACGCGTGTCTGGTGGGGCTCCTGGCTGGTGGGGGGCTCTCAGCTGATATCGGGGGTCCCGGCAGTGGTGCTGGATGACTCCAAGCGGGTAGCGAAGCGGAAGCTGATCGAGGAGAACCGGGAGCGGCGGCGGAAGGAGGAGATGATCAAGTCGCTGCAGCATCGCCCCAACCCCAGCGCCGAGGAGTGGGAGCTGATCCACGTGGTGACAGAAGCCCACCGCAGCACCAACGCCCAGGGCAGCCACTGGAAGCAGAAGCGGAAATTCCTGGTGAGGGGATGCAGCGGAGGGACCCTGTCACCACCCCGACCCCCCAGCCGGGGTTTGCTGAGCACCCACATGCTCAGCGCACACGTGGCAGCAGTTCTGGCAGTGCCAGGGTTTGGAATGTCACTGGTGTCCTTGGGCAGGTGGAGTTGGGGGGGGTTGGGATGTCGCTCAGTGTCCTTGAGCTGGTCACCCCCAAAGGGTTCAGGGGTGAGCGGTGACCGAAGGGGACAGCTGTGCCCATGGGTGGCCCCAGCCCTGGCCCTGGCCCTGGCCCTGGCCCTGTCACGTAGCTCCCTCTCCTGGCTGCTGCACCCAGCCCTGCCACACGTGTTACCCGGTGACATGGGGGTCCTGAGGGGGGCACAGGGTCACACTGCACCCCCCCAGGGTGGGGGAAGTGGTCACACCATGCCCCCCCAACGCTGCTGTCCATCATGGGGGTCCCAATAATGTCACAGCCCCCAGTGCTGCCCTGGGGATCCTGGGGGGGGACACATGGTCACACCGCACCACCATGTGCCACTGTCCACCATGGGGATCCCAGGGGTGGACACGGTTACACCACAGCCCCCAGTGTCCCTGTCTGTTATGGGGGTCTTGATGGGGGACACGGTCACACCGCACCCCCCCAACACCACCATGGGGGTTCTGTGGGACACACTCCACACCCCCCAACACCCCTGTGCCCCCCACAGCCCGAGGACATCGGCCAGTCCCCCATGGCCTCCATGCCCGACGGGGACAAAGTCGACCTGGAGGCGTTCAGCGAGTTTACAAAAATCATCACCCCGGCCATCACCCGCGTGGTCGACTTTGCCAAAAAACTGCCCATGTTTTCGGAGGTAACGGTGGGGGGGGGGGGGGGCGGGGGGTTTTGGGGGGGGGCCCGGGCGGAACTGTCCAGGTCCGGGGTCCCCCCAAACCCCCCCAACCGGCTCCCGTCCCCCCCCCCCAGCTGCCTTGCGAGGACCAGATCATCCTACTCAAGGGGTGCTGCATGGAGATCATGTCGCTGCGGGCGGCCGTGCGCTACGACCCCGAGAGCGAGACGCTGACGCTGAGCGGGGAGATGGCGGTGAAGCGAGAGCAGCTCAAGAACGGCGGCCTCGGCGTCGTCTCCGATGCCATCTTCGACCTGGGCAAGTCCCTCTCTGCCTTCAACCTGGACGACACCGAGGTGGCCCTGCTCCAGGCCGTGCTGCTCATGTCCTCAGGTACCGTGGGGTGGGCACGCTGGTGCCCGGGGAATCGGAGGGTGTGTTGGGTGGGCACCCCCCTGCCCAGAGTCAGTATCCTGGGAGTGTGTTGAGTGCCCATCTGTCCTGGGGGTGTGTTGGGTTGGCACTCCCCTGCCCAGAGTTCTCAGTATCCTGGGGGTGTGTCAGGTGAGCAGCCCGATGCCAGAGCTCCCCGAACATTTTGGGGGTGTGTTGGGTTGGCACCCTCATGCTCAGAGTCCTCAGTATCCTGGGGGTGTGTCAGGTGAGTAGCCTGATGCCAGAGCCCCCTCAACATTTTCAGGGTGTGTTGGGTGGGCACCACCATGCCCAGAGTCTCTCCTGGGGGTGTGTTGGGTAGGCACCTCTGTGCCCAGAGCCTCCAGCATTTGGGGTGCATTGAGTGGGTACCCTAATGCCCAGCATCTGTGGTATCTTATGGCTGTGTTGGGTGGGCACCCCTGTGCCCAGAGTCTGTGATGGGGCACCCTGGTGCTAAAGCCCCCCAGCATCTGCAGGGTGTGTTGGATGGGAAACTGTGCTCCCTTGGATTTGGGGGCAGATATGGGGTGGGCACCCCAGTGCACCTAGGGAGCTTTGCTAGCAGGTTATGGGGTAAGCACCCCAATCCCCAGAGCTCTGGGGAGCTGTACCAGGCTGGAAGGAGTGGATACCCCAATTCCCAGTGCCCAGGAGCATGGAGTGGGCACTGTAATCTGTGGTGTTGAAACCTGGGCTGCAAAGTGTGGGCATGGGTTGAGGCCCTTGGTGCCCTGGGGACCCCTGCCAGGCTGATGCAGGTCTGTGGGGTGGGAACCCCAAAACCCAGGGGGTGTGTGGGGCACTCAGCCCTGTAGGAGGGAAAATCTCCTTGGATGCCAGATTCTTATATGGACAGAGAGTGCCAAGTCAAAAGGGGAGGGATTTAAACTAAAAAGAGGAGATTTAGATGAGATATTGGGAAGAAATTCCTCCCTGTGAGGGGGGTGAGGCCTTGGCACAGGATGCCCAGAGAAGCTGTGGCTGCCCCATTCCTGGAAATGTCCAAGGCCAGGTTGGACTGGGCTTGGAGCAACCTGGGCTAGTGGGAGGTGTCCCTGCCCATGGCAGGGGGTGGGACTGGGTGGGCTTTAAGGTCCCTCCCACCCCAAGCCACGCTGTGATTCCACGATGGTTCCGTGACGATCCCGTGGTGATTCCCCGCAGACCGGACGGGGCTGATCTGCGTGGAGAAGATCGAGAAGTGCCAGGAGACGTACCTGCTGGCCTTCGAGCACTACATCAACTACCGCAAACACAACATTCCCCACTTCTGGCCCAAGCTGCTGATGAAGGTGACGGATCTGCGGATGATCGGCGCCTGCCACGCCAGCCGCTTCCTGCACATGAAGGTGGAGTGTCCCACCGAGCTCTTCCCACCCCTCTTCCTCGAGGTCTTCGAGGACCAGGAGGTGTAGGGCTGACACCCCCCCCCCCCCCCGCCCCCCCCCCCCCGCCCGGCCCCCCCCCCCCCCAAATCTTTCTCGTCCCCCCTGTAAGGACAAGGGGATGCTGCGCCCAGGGCGGGGGTCCCGCTGTGCCCCCCCACGGCCACCCTGCCCCCCCCGCCCCAGGACTTGACGAATTTTGTTTGTTTGCACAGGGAAGGGCCCCGACGGTCGAGCGTTCCCTTTATTGTCCTTCTCTTCGTAGATTATTATTTTTTAAGCATTTATTTCCCTCCCTGAGAGGCTAAAATATTAAACTAACTGCACTTTGGAAGGAGGAGGAGGAGGAGGAGGAGGAGGAAGAGCAGGGGAGGAGAGGAGGGGGCTCTGGGCTGCACAGGGAGAGGCTGCCCCGGCTGGGGGGGCCGTGGCCACATGCACTTTTGGCCGGGCAGCAATTTTGGGGGACTAGGGTGGGGGGCCAGGACCCCCCTTCCTTAGCAGGGGCAGGGGCTGGGACCCTCATCCCCATAGTGGGGTGAGGGCCAGGACCCCCCCAAAAGCAGGGCGGGGGGCCAGGACCCCCATCCCTCCTAATAGGGTGAGGGCCAGGACCCCTCTCATAGCAAGGTGGGGGCCAGGACCCCCCCATAGCAGGGCAGGGGGCACGGGGGGGCACAGCGGCAGCGGGGGGACCCCAGCCCATCGGGGTGCAGGGCTGGTGGACCCCCCCAGCCCACTGGGTCTGCCCCAGCTGGGGTGACCCCCCCTTCCCCCGTGCCCTCCCCTTTATCCCCAGATTCGGGGCCAGATTCGGGGTTTTGGGGGTTCTCTGTCTTTTTTTTTGGGCTGAGAGAAGACAATTTTGTGCCAAGCGCCGCGGACGGTGGGCGCTGCAGGACGCTGTGGGGGGGGGGGGATCTGCCCCCCCCCCCCAAACCCCCCAACTTTTCCGTTGTCCTTTTTTTTTTGTTCTTTTTCCCCTCGTCCTCGTGGGTTTTGTCGTGTCCGTCAGGAGTTGCAAAGGCCCCGGAGGCGCCGGCGGGGGGGCAGAGGGTGCCCCCCCCGGGCCCCCCCACTGCACTACTGCCCCAGCCCCCCGGCAGCAGCACTTCGGGGGGGCTGCACCCCCAACCGCCCCCCCCAATGCTCCTGGGGGGGCCGGGCTGGGGGAGGGGGGGCCGGCAGGGGGGGTCCCATGGGGGGTTTGGGGGGGGGGGGGGGGCCCCGGGCAAGGGGGCGCCCCGGGGAATGTTTTTATCCCCTTTCCCCCCCCCCCCCCAAATTTAGGTTTGTGAATTTTTTCTTACCTCAGGCGGAGGCCGAGGGGGGGCGCGGGCCGGGGGGGGCCGGCGAGGCAGGCCGGGCCCACCTAAGCTAATATATATATATATATATATAAATATATATAAAATATATAATTTTTGTAATTAAAAAAAAAAAATCTTTTTACGGGTCGTTTAAAAGCAGAAAATCCCAACACCAGACACGTCCCCCCCACCCTGGGCACAGGGGGCCAGGCTGGGCTCCCCCCAACACCCCAGACACCCCCACCATGGGGGTCATGTCAGGGGGCCCTGCCGGACCCCCTGCAGCCAGGTCGGGGGGCACAGCGGGGCCGTGGCACCCCAGGGTGCCCTGGGGGGGCACATGCCCCCGGCCCCAAGTACCAGCACCGGATTTGACCTTGGTGCAAAATGTCTTAAACCCCCCCCCGGGTACCTGGCTCAGGGGGTCCCGGCTCGGGGGGTCCTGGCACTGGGGGATCCCGGTGGCACCGGCTGTGGGTGGTGCAATAGGAGCCGACCACTGACGCCCGTGCTGGGAGGGCACAGGGTTTGGGGGTTCACCCCCCACCCCTCCAGCAGCACCAGCCCCAACACGTGCCTTTGGGCCGGGGCTGTGGCACCCGGGCGATGCCCCCCGTGGTGCCATGGCCATGCCATGTTCATGCCATGGCCACGCGTGTTGGTGCCGTGACCGTGCCGGTGCTGTGGCCGCGGGTGCTGGTATTGTGCCGGTGCCGTGGCCGTGCCATGTCAGTGCCATGGCAATGCATGTTGGTGCCATGGCTACGCGTGTTGGTGCCATGGCCACGCGCGTTGGCGCCATGACGGTGCCACGCCAGTGCCGTGGCAGTTCATGTTGGTGCAATGCCGGTGCCGGTGCCGTGCCCACGCATGTCAGTGCGGTGCCGGTGCCGTGCCCACGTGCTGCCCACGTGTTCCCGCGCACCCCCCGCGTGCTCCCATCGCGGGACGTGTCTTAATCAGCCACCGTGACCCCCCACTGCCGGGCCGGGGCCCCCCCACGCGGCCGCACGGTGCTCTGGGGCAGCTTGTCCCGGGGTGGGGGGCTCCGCCCGGCCCCCCACCCGCTGCCCCCCGCACGCCCCCCCACCCCCTGCACTCCCCCCCGCGCCCCCCGGGCCGCCCCCACGTCTCCGTCTCGCGTCGCCATCGCACGTCCAGCATCCAGCGTCGGTCCCGGGGGTCCACACCGGTGCCCCCCACCCCTCCACCACCTCCCCGGGCCACCCCCGCCCCGCGTCCCCCCCGTCCCCGCGCCCCCCTGCCCCCCCCCCCCCCCAAGCACATACCTCATGGCTCCCGGAGCTGCCCCTGCCCGCGGGCGTCGAGCCCGGCCGGCACACGGCCTGGCACAGGGCTCGGCACGGCCTGGCACGGCCCGGCCTGGCTCGGCGCGCCCCACCGGGGTCCCCCACTATGCAGGGTGGTGGCGGGGGGGGGCCGCGGCCGGCGTCGCTGAATGTAGGGGCGCGGGCCGGGGGGGCCACGGAGCCCCTGTGACAATCACAGTCTGTGACGTGCGATTTTAAACCCTTTTGTGTTTTGGTCAGGATTTTAAAGAAAGATATTTTTATGGTAATTGTTGCTGGTCTATTTTACTATATATTTATGTAATAAATATATGATGAAAAAAAAAAAAAACCAACCAACCAAACCCCCACCACCACCAAACCCGCCCCACCCAGCGCGGCTGGATCTGGCCACTGCGTCCCACCCTCGGCCGCTGGAGCTGGGGGAGGTCAGGGCGAGGGGACCCCCCGGCGCTGCCAGCGGAGCCGTGGGGCCGGCACCCGATTTGGGGGGGCGGGGGGGTCCCAGCGTCCCGGCGCCCACCTTAGGGTGAATCCCTGTGAGTCCATGGGGTCGGTGCTGCCCCAGGGGTTGGTCTGTGTGTCCCCCCCCCGCTGTGGTGTATGTACAGGGGTGCGCGGGGGGGGACTGCGGGGGGTCCGGGGGGCACTACTGGGCGTCGATGCGGAAGGAGAGCAGCTTCTCGGAGTGGAGGTTGTTGAGGGTGCGCAGGTCCGGCAGCTTCAGCAGCAGTTTGGTGAAGCGCGAGGTCTCGGCCGGGCGCGTCTTTAGCACGAGGGCGCGCAGGGCCCTCAGCAGCGTCTCCTGCAGCTGCTCCACTGACGCTGTGTCCTCCATGCCCGAGCGGTCTGCGGGAGCAGGGTGTCAGGGGCAGAGCAGGGACACACTGGTTCCACCCCCAGAATCCCCTGATCCCACCCCAGCATCACCCCAATTCCACCCTTATCTCTGAACCCCCTGATCCACACCCAACCCAACCCCTCAATCCCCGCTGAATCCCACTCTAAACCCAGCCACAATCCCCCTAAATCCCTTGCTCCCACCTCCGCTCCCCACGATTTTGTCCCTGAACCCCCTGACCCTCTCTCACTTTCATCACCTTGATCCCACCCCTCCAACCCCCAATCTCCCCCTCGAACCCCCAATTCCTCCCCAAACCCACAAATCCCCCTCTGAAACCCCTGATCCTTCACCGAAATCGCCCAATCCTATCCCTGAACACTCCCCAAACCCCATGATCCCAACCCCAAGCTCTCTGATCCCCTCCCAAACTCCTACGATCCCACCCCCAAACCCCTCAATCTCCCCCCAAAAGCCCCCTGAGCCCACCTGCCGAGACGAGGACGACAGCGGTGAAGAGCCCCAGCTCCTCGTCGCTGAGCTCGAGGGCGCTGAGCTTCTCGCTGAAGTCGAACATGGCCCCGAGCAGGTCCCCCATGCCCATGGCCCAGAGCTCCTCCAGCCCGTACCGCGTGCGGCTCATGAACGTCACCGTCTGCTCCTTCACGTCGAACAGCGATGCGAAGCGAACCATCAGCACCTGCGGGGTGGGCAGCATTTGGCACCGGGACGGGGCACCGTGGCAGGACAGGGGCACCAAGGGCACCGGGCTCCGTGCCATGGCTCCCAAATGTGGGGCACTGCAGTGCCGTGGGGCTCTGTGCCAGCCCACGGGGCATTGTGCCATGCCAGGGGCTCTGTGCTCCGTGCCACAGTTCCCAAATGTGCGGTACCGTGCCGTGCTGTGGGGCACCACGCCATCCCATGGGCACCATGCAGTGCTTCATGCCACAGTTCCCATATGCATTACATTGCCATGGGACATCAGGCAATGCCACAAGGTTTTCATGCCAGTCCCTGACTCCCAAATGTGGGGCACTGTGCCGTGGGCATCATGCTCCATACCACAGCTGCCACGTGTCAGGCACTGCAGTGCCATGGGCCACCAGGCAATGCCATGGGCACTGTGGGGCACCAGGCAGTGCCACATTCTAGTCCATGGTTCCCAAATGTGGGGCACCATGCCATGCCATGGGCACCGTGCCGTGTCATGGAGCATCATGCAGGGCTGAGTTCTGTGCCACGGCTCCTATATGTGGGACACTGCAATGCCATGGGACTCCTGCCATGATCTGGGCCACTGTGCCCATGCTCTAGGGCTTCATGCTAGTCCATGGAGCGCTGTGCAATGCCAGAGGGATCGTGTCAGGCTTTGGGGCACCGCGCAATGCCGTAGGGCACCGTGCCCTGCATCAAGCCCTTGCCATCCCAGGACATACCTCGAAGGTGCCAGCCTTGAGCAGGGTGACCTGGTCATGCTGGGAGAGCGCCTGGAAGCCGGGAATGTGCTTGGCGAACTCGACGACCTCGCGGACAGCGGGGGTGAAGCTGAGCGAGAAATCCTCCCAGATCTCCTGCACGGAGCGCCCGCTGCGCCCGGGAACGTGGCTGTTCATGGGACACGCCTGCAGGAGGTAGGGGGTCAGTGGGCACTCGGGGCTCCCCCAGCCCCACCGTCACAGCGGGAAGGGAGGGGGGCACCCGCAAGGGGATTAGTGCAATAAGCAGCTAAAAATACCCCACGGGGAGCAGGAGCCCCCGGGCGCTCACCGGCAGGACGTCCTTGGGGCCGCGGGGCCAGGGGCACCCCCGCGGGGCCGGGGGCTCGGGGTAGGCGGCGGGGCAGAGCCGGGGCTCGGGGGGGCCGGGGGCCCAGGCGGGGGGCGCGTCCCAGCGCAGGAGGCCGCTGTCGCAGGCGGGGGGGGGTCCCAGCTTGTCGTGGGCGTAAATGAAGATCTCCTTGTGGGCCTTGGCCACCTGCGCGATGACGTCCTCGGTGGCCCCCCCGGGGCTGGGCGAGCGGGGGGGCGTCAGCTGCTGGGGGAACTGGGAGAAGCAGGCGGGGGGGGCGAGCGGCGGGGGGCCGGGGGGCGGCGCGCGGCCCCCGCCCACGGTGGGACCCTCGCCGGGGCCCGGCATCGGCGGTGGGGCACTGGCCATGCCGCCCATGGCGCTCTGCATCTCCGCCAGCATCCGCTGCTTCTCCCGCTTGGGGATGCGCCCAAAGCGCACGGCTGTGGGGGGACACCGGCGTTAGGGGGGACACCGGCGGCAGCGGGCACGGTGACCCCCCCCACTCCGATCTGTGCCATGGGGGGGCCAGGGGCTGCCGGGAGCGGGGCTGTATCCCTATCCCAGTCCTGGAGGTGACACACAGCCCTGGGCACCGTGGGACCCATCCCAGGAGGGGGCAGGGAGCCCTGAGCATGGGGTTTCCATCCTGGGAGGGGATGTAGTGCCCTGAGCATGGGGGGGACCCATCCAAGGAGAGGACATGCCACCCCAGCCACGGTGGGGACCCATCCCAGGAAGGGGGGGACACATCCCACGGGACAGGCAGGGCACCCAGCACAGCCAGAGGGACCTGACTCTGGAGGGGATGTACACCCCTGGGCACAGGGGGTCGCATCCCGGGAGGGGACACACAGCCTGGGCACAGGGAATCCCACCCCTAGAAGAGCCCCCCGTCTCGAGGGGGGTTGCGGGGGTCCCTCTGAGCTCACCGTCGCGGGACATGCCGACCAGCAGGCACTTCTTGAAGCGGCACTGCTGGCAGCGGTTGCGGTTGATGCGGACAATAGAGCAGTTCTCATTTTTGAGGCACTTCTTGTACTGAATATTCTGCTGGATGCTGCGGCGGAAGAAGCCCTGCGGGGTGGGAGGGAGGGTCACTGAGGGTCCTTCCAGCGTGACAGGAGGTCTGTGCCCCATCCCTGACCCCATCCCAGTACCTTGCAGCCCTCGCAGGCGTGGACACCGTAGTGGAAGCCGGAGGCGACGTCCCCGCAGACTTTGCAGAGCAGCACCATCCCGTTGAGCTCTGCGGGGGGACCGGGGTCAGCGGGGTCCCGGGGTGCCCTCGGCGGGGTGGGGGGCCCGCCCGCCGCCCCCCTGTGAGCCCCACTCACTGGTGACGGTGCTGCCGGCTTTGCTGGGGGAACTGCGGCGCCGCTCGTCCGCGGGGACCGGCTGCACCCCGGGGAAGTTCACCGAGGAGCCGTACGACGAGGAGGAGGAGGAGGTGGAGGATGAGGAGGAGGAAGAAGGGGAGCCGTCCTCATGGGGGGCCAGCGAGCCCCCACCGTAGGCGCGGGAATCCTGGAGGGAGCCGGTGGGCGACGGGGGGAAGTACGTGGGGAAGGGCTGGGATCCCGACTGGGAGCTGCTGTTGGAGCTGTCGCTGCAGAGGGAGACTGGGCTGGTCCGGGTGGGAGAGGCGCCGCTGGAGCCCACGTAGCTGATCACCCCACCTGCAGAGAGCGGGGAGTTACTCATGCACTGAGCTGTGCCGGGCTCAGCCTCCCCCAGTTCACGAAGGGGGGAACGCCGGGAGGTGGGTGGGATCCCCAGGGAAACACCCCGGATCCATCGGCAACCTGGAGCCACGGGCATCCTGCGGGGCCACACATGCACTGAGCTGTGCCAGGTTCAGCCGCCTCCCACCGTGAGCGGGATCACAGCTCTGTGTAGGGTGGGATCCCCCAGGGAAGCACCCAAATCCACGGGAAACCCACGGGGCCACACATGTACTGAGCTATGCCGGGCTCAGCCTCCTCCCCCACAAAACGGGGGACTCCCCCATGAGAGGGACTGCAGCCCCAAGTGGGGCAGGATCCACAGGGAAGGATCCCGAACGCATCCTGGATCCACGGGCATCCCGGTGGACCACTCATGTACCGAGCTGCACCAAGCTCAGCCTCCCCCAGCGCAGGGAGGGAAAACCCCCTGGAGGAGGGTGGAAGCCCCAGGCGGCGGGGGGTCCCCAGGGAAGCACCCCGGAAGCATCCCGGATCCAAGGGCATCCCGCAGCGCCGCACGTGCACCGCCCACCCTGAGTCAGGCACCGCACCCACGGGGCGCCACGGGTGCCGAGCCCACGTGGGCCGGGGACAGCCGGGTTTATCTGGGTGCGTGCCGGCTGGGGACACAGGCAGGGCACCCCGGAATTGCCTGCAGGAGGAATGTGGGTTGGGAACCCTCGGGAGAGGTGAAATCAGGAGGTCACAGGAGTTACTCCCGCCGTCCCTGGCTCCGTGCCCACGGCACAGCCGGGCTCCCACCCACAGCTCCTGGTACAGCCCCACGGCGCAGCCCCCTGTGGCACTGGGGTGCTCCCAGTGCAGCCCCCTGTGGCATTGGGGTGCTCCCAGTGCAGCTCCCTGTGGCATTGGGGTGCTCCCAGTGCAGCCCCCTGTGGCACTGGGGTGC